CGTGGACCCCATGCGATGACCAGTTCCTGCACCACATCGAGGACCATGGGCTAACTTTAAGTTAGTTATAGGAAGCAAGAGAGGCTGTTAGGTTTTAGGTTTAGATTAGGTACTTAGGTTAATTTAGATTTAGTCATATGATAATATCTTAAGACACACAGAGTGTTAGACACTCTAGCGATGTTAGCATTAAGGATCCGTAGATTAAGTAGCAGTAAGAAGTTTATGTATACTTATAAATAAAATATGCTCAAATGGAATGAAGGAATTGAATATACCGACTCCCCTTTAAGGTGCCTTAATAATAAATAAAAGAAAAATAAATGATTCAAGAATTTTTGAACCTACCATTCCGCTCCAAACGTTAAACCCAAGTTTAATGTGGGGTCTTCTTTGCTCAACGTGGTGGGGATTTGTTTGATTACAAAGATGTTCATTGTGTCGATTAAACAAACCACAATTTGTAAATCGATTTTAATCGGTCCACAAGATTTTATTAGAGAATTGGATGTCTGTGTACAAAAATTCACACGCAGAACCTCATCCCCTGGATGTAAAGTTTGGTATACTGATGATTTATACGGATGAAATTTGTCTTTTTTTAACTCTCATTAAGGTGCTTTAGGAAGTTCTAGATTCTGCTGAGATCTCTGTGGTAGAAATATGTGGATTCTGGCTTACAATCGCCAAGACATCGTCTACAGCTTCATTTATTACTTGATCTTGATTTATTTGCTGCGTAAAACTTCCATGAGTGCCCAAATTGTCTAATAATCGTTTGAATATTTTCAAGGACGGTTGATGACGGTTGAAATAGTAATCTGAGACCGTTTAGGATTTTTATCACATCTAATATAGATTTCAATCACGTCGCACTTTTCATGATTGGAATAATTAATATTTACAATAAAATTAACTTATATTTGTAAGTTGAATTTAAACTTGAATGTCGAAAATTGAAATATGATGTTATTATTTGTTGCTATGGGAACAATGCTTGCATTGCTATGTCTTATACTATTTCCCATGACTCACGTAGATCAACTAAATTGAAAAAGTATTAAATTTTTCGCACTCTTTATTTTCGAAAAAAATCCTAACGATGTGAAATATTAAAGAAATCGTAATAAAATGGTCTATTCAGTAAAGAAATAATCAAATATTCTAGCCATTTAAAAAGCTCAAATTTGTGTCACATGTCAAAAATTACAGTTTTTTTGTAAAAATGTATTATGCCATTTTGTGTGGAATTCAATTTCCTATAAGTTTCCTATTTAATTTTTTCCTGTCAAACTAATATCAACGGAACTAGGAGTAAATTTATAAATTTACTTTAAATAATTTTTCTCCAAATATCTCTTGACAGCTGTCAGACTTGAGAAAAATCAAATTAGTTTCGACTAGAGCATTCAAAACTACAATTCTTTGTCCATTTAAACTTTTTCGAAGGTGCTATGGTTTTGAAGATCCCTATATTGGTCATCGAAAAAAACGCACTTTGTACACGATTCAAAATTATAATTTTAATTAGTTTCTACTCGTATTGAAGTCTATTAAGTTACTTGTTTTAGTTCAAATGGAAGTTTTGTTGAAATATAAGTTTATCTTTACAAATGCCATGAATGTCCAAAGCAGTTCTGAGGAGCAAATTTTAATGCCCATAAAAGGATGCATCAGACGGAGATAGTTTCTCCCTGTAGGTCCAACCAAATTAAAGCGTACTTTATGCAAATACGAAGATAATTTAAAACCCAAGTTATTTCATCATTTTGGAGAAAATAATGAAATAGCTCCAACTCGAAGGATTACTAAATGCCAGTAAAGTGCAGGGTGGCAGATTTGTAAACGTCATAGGGAAAGATACAACCCACAAAACAAAAGTGTATAAACCAAAGCAAATATTTTCAGTAGGGAAAACTTTGTTAAGGGAAATATAGTGGTGTAACTCAACTACAAATTACAAGTAAGATATAAGAACAATTCAAACAAAAGTATTATAATTCATTTAAATATACTCCTTCTTCAAGTATTACTAAATGTAAACTTTGGAACTGCGCGCCATTCGCCGGGGCCAGAGCTGTCGGGATTTGCGACCACATAAACGTCGGGGCCACTACACGCGAATCAAAAACGTGTTCCTTAAAATCATATGGGAAGATGGGTTGGGGTGTCAGCCAACCCACCTACGAAGTTTGGGTTTTAAATATAAAACAGTTAATTTGATATAACTTGTTCCATAAACACCTGTGATGACATTTTCGTTAAACAATTGACATCGTCCGAAAAGCACGTCAATCTCCCCGTCCCCTTTATCTCACCTTAAACCTATATATTCGCTGATCTCGTTAGGAAAGATTTTCTCCAATTCCACTATCAAGTTTGTTTTTAATTTTCGGTAAGCATCGATTTTTCCTTTAACTTGTTCATTTTTGGCCAAAGCTTTTTCAATGCAATTCTTGGTATACAATTTGGGATTGCGACCCTGGTCAATATAACTACAGAATTTGCACAAAAATACATTAACTTATCAATCAATTACAAATAACTTTAATTTACTTACTCGAATACCTCTAGCGGAACATGCACATCTTGAAATTGGGATTTCAGCTTGTCCACCTCCTGTAATCCATGTACCATTGACTGCCTGAATTTTAAGAACAAAGATTATTTTAACCAGTCAGTAATATTATGTTGATAATTGTTTAATATATATGTCCTTACAATTTTTGATTAAGCGCATTCTGGCTTTGTGGGTGAAAATCGCTAACTATTATATGCATCTGACGAGCATTTTCTATAAGCATTTCTAACTGAGCCTCCAAATTTTTGAACGATGAATCCATATTTAGTAAAGGTAAATAAATCCTTCAACCAATATCCAGTACCATTTTCCAGGAAGTAGACGAACGGAAGTCAAATAATGCAGGATTTATAGAGGAAGAAACAAAGGTAAACAACGTCCTTAGCTTGTGAATGGAGAAATCGCGACAAACGCTTGTCCACATGCCGTCACTCAGTTAAAATGACAAACTACCAGAGACAAGTAGAACTTGTCTCTGAAACTACATTGCGAGTTGTCGGGAAAATGGCAACGCTTTGCGCCTAACTACACTGTTAAAAAAATCTGGTTGAATTTTCAGTCAAATGTAACTGAAGTTTTTTCCACACATGTAACTGAAAATCTAGATACCCGTTATTGAAAATTCAGATACCTGTTATTGAAAATTCATATACTTGTTATTGAAAATACAAATGACTTCTGGTAAAAAGAGAAGAAGCAAAACCGTAGGCGCCTCTAACGTATTTTTGCGGAACGCACCATCCAAATAATACGGGGACCTGTGTGATGTTTTCCTATGGTAGTTTTCTGCTGTTGTTGTTCTCAATGGTCTGCTTCAACTGCTTTCCACGAGGTGACCAAAGCATCGCTGCGGGAAAATTTTCTCGCCTTGGTCGGGGTTTGAACCTGGGATCCTAGCATGGCATGGAGATAGATAGGTAGATAAAACATTTATTAATATTTACATTATATACAGACATTAACAGATTAACAACAATACCAACAAATGACAGGAGCAAGCCCATGTCAGCGCATGGCCAGATGGTCCGCCAGTTGCTTCTCTGCCTATAGTTTAAATGGGCGGGAAGTAGTCCAGTACCTGGGTAGGGCCCTTACAAGGACATTCGCGGATTCGCAATCGCACGAAAACGTGAGGAGATAATCTTTAAATGGCGACTTTTCTTTCACTGGAAGGGCATTCAT